TATATGTGCCAAATTTATGTTGGTAGCATCATGTTAATGGTGTATTTTTAATATAATAGCAGTGCCAAACGTGATGTTAATTATTGATTAGGGTTCTGTTTGGGCCGGTGACCTTGTTGGATTCTCTTGTTTATTGATAATGTAATAACTTTAGCCATATCTATATATATCTTCTTGGTCTCAACTGATATATTATTATTATTATTATTATTATTATTATTATTATTATTATTATTATTATTATTATTATTATTATTATTATTATTATTATTTCATGAAATCGCGAGTTATCTGAAGCAGAATTTCTAGTTAATTTCTCTTTGGATCTTTTTTTTTTTTAGTTTCTTACTTTGTTGTTTGGACTCTATTTTGCATGTTTTGACTTTCTTTGTTTAATGTACATTCAGTTGATTCTTTCTAGCGAAAATTTGGACGAGCTATGAATTTATTTCAATTTATATATATATTTCATTTTTGGTTCAATATATTTCTAATATTCGTCATATCAAAATAAAATAAAATTTTGAAGGCATTGTGTGAAGGGAAAAATAAAATAAAATTTTGAAGATAATAATTTCAATATAAAACAGGTACTCAATTTTAATTTTTCTTAATATAACTACACTAATTGAGAAAATTTGTATATTTGAAAGCCCATCAGAGAGTCACGGAGAGAATAAGAAAGGCATGCACATATTGAATAGTTACGGAGACAAAAGAGCACGACTTGCAGACGACTGCTCAGAAATAAAACCATCTATACCATACCATTAATCTCTACCAAACAAAATCAGTGAACCCCACAATTATTATACAAATATTATATTGTCCATTTGTAGTTGGAAGTCAATGCTTTTAATTATATATATGTAACTGTAGTTTTAATTTCCTTTTGAGATAAAACTAAAATAAAAGAAAACTGATGACTGTATAATATATATAGAGGCGGCATTTAGGCCCAACCTCGGTATTTCATTTACTCTCTTTTGAATATTTTGTTTACTTAAACAAAAAAAGAATTGATTGCATCCATGGTTCTAATCTAACTTTCTTGTGTTTTAGTCTTTTAGACATGGCAATCAGCCGGGCCAGTTTACGACTCAGCCCGGCCCGTATGTCTGCCGGGCCTCAAAAGCTGAGCCCGGAACCGGCCCGGCTACACCTAAGGGCCGGTTCAATGAATCAATTCGGGTCACCGACTGCCAGTTTTTGCCCGATTCCGGAGGTTTCGTTATTTATTTTTTATTTATGTACGGAATTTTACTTCAAAAAAAAAAAACAAAAGATCTTAATTAAAGTCGAGCGAAAACAAAACGGCAGTGATGGATCCTATTCGGCAGAGCGAACGGAATGAGACAATTGTCCCGAATATCGGCCATATGTTTTCCTTGCTCATGATTCATTTTCGAAATGGTGAAACAGTTGTTATATCCGTTTCATCTGCTAATTATTTGATTTCAATTATGAACAACTCCAGCAATTGCGGGTGAGTTGTATATGAGTAGTATAGTTCAAAAGATATCTTACCATGTTAAATACATGCTCCCAGTAACTCTATCCTTTTAGGCACTTAATTATTTGAAGGTGAGAGCGCTGACGACCCTTTCCCCGGTTGAGCTAGAACAGAGTAAACGACGGTCAACGACCCCAACTACAAAGAATATAACAATTATGTGGATAGAGAGAAGAGTGCATGAATTTAACATGGTAATATATTATTTTAGACAATACTACTCATTTAAATCTCAACCGAAGCTGTTGGAGTTGTTCATAATTGAAAACGAATAATTAGCATATGAAACGGATATAACAATTGTTCACCAATTTGGAAAGGAATCATGTGTTTGGAAATCATGTACCCAATGATGTCAGACTCACATTCTCCATCATGTATCATGCTTCAAACTCTCTTATATCCTTGTAATGCCCCGAATATTTTTAAAAATTATATGCTCGACTTTAGTTCCCATAAATAACAAGTCTTATTTATTTCAAGTTTAATTTAATTAATTGATACATTTAATTATTATTATTTGCATTAATTTAAGTAATAAGTTCTAAGTCTAAGCCATGGAGGATCCAATCGATTTTTAATTTTAAAAATCGAATCCATTTCGCCAAGTTTCGGTTTATTTTAAGATGATACCGAGCATTGGAAAAATCAGAATTTTATTTAAGTCGGTCCAAAGCCCGAACGAGCTGAGTCTCGGCCCAAACATTATCGAACAAGCCCAAAATTCAAGCCATGTAGTCCGGCTCAATAAAAATCGAGCAACCCATCATTTATTTTTATTTCAGCCCAAGTGGTATTTTTAGTCCAAATATTTTTATTAAGTCTCAAGTCTTTAATTCAATTCCTAGTCAAAGTCTTGTATTATTTGACCTAAGTATTTTTAATATTCTTAGCCCAACTCATTAATTTTGTATGGCCCAATATTATTTGTCCCAAGTTAAAAATAATGTGGACTAAGTATTTTTTATGAAATAAAAAATTCTAGTATATACAAGTCAAAGAGCATTAAATGCTCCCACCTAACTCCACCTACCACACTTTTCAAACCTAATTAATATTGTGTGTGTCTGTGTTATCTCATAGCACACAACTTCCTCTTCTTAAAACCCTAAGCAACAAGAGAAAAAAAAAATAGCCTAAAAGCCTTCAAATCCTAAGCCTAGGATATAAAAATCGGGCCCTAGCTTTAAGATTGAGCCTCACCCGAGCCTTAGTCGCCCGAGCTCTACCCGTGCAAGCCCAAGCCCAGCCCTTGTTATCCCTGCTGTGTTGAGCTCCCTGGTCCACACACGCGCCCAGGTACCCAGCAGCAACCCAGGTCGTGCGCAGCACGCCAGGCCCGCGTCAGTGCCCAACAGTCCCGCGCCCAACGCCCAACTCCCCCCCGTCTGCGGCTCAGCTGCTTCATGAAGATCGCGTATCCCGATTGCGTGACTTGCTTCGAATGTCATTGGGATCTTTGTTCTCGACAATTGGTGCGGACGACTCAGAGGTTAAACTCCTTATCTTCTCGCGATAGCTGAGACAACTTGGACGTGCGCCCTTGCCAAACTCCGGCTTGCTACGAATGATGCGATGAACGCCCTTTTAGTGACAAGGGTTTTGCGTCAAAATTCAATAAGAAATCTAACACAAGAGACTGAACAAAAGTTTGAATTTTTATTAATATCAATGATGAAGAAAAACGTCCTAATAACATGAGTATTTAATGAGGTTAATTAAGCTTAGTCCTAGCCAAAGTAAACTTCCAAACATAAGGTAAAGAAATCCTAAAAATACCCAAACTAAGCATCCTAAACAATCTAGGAATATCAAATAGCATCTAGTAGTAATCTTCGACTTGTTCGCAAAGCAACCCTTGTTCGGCTTTCCCGCGAGCGTTCCCTTCATGCGCCTTTTCATCGCGCGGATATTGGCGGCTATCGCTGCTGCGCGCGTCCTCATACTCGCCCGCGTGTTCGCATGCCCCGGATTCTATCGCGAGCAGACTGTGAGCGCTATTCTCGCGCGTGTCGCCCTATGCGCCTTCTTTCGTGCCGATCGCATTAGCCTCGGCAGCCCGGCGAGCCAACCTCTTGCGCGCATGATAAGCCCGACTCACAGCGTTCTTCAGTCGCCTAGCCGCATCTTCATCATTCTCGTCCCCTTCAAGTGTTTCCTTGTCCTCAAGGATGAAGTTCGGGAATCGTTCTCGCATCCTGGCTAAGTTCTCCCATGTGGCCTCCTCCGTAGGCAAATCTTCCCACTCGATTAACACCTCCCAAAAGAAACGCCCGACCTTCTTTACTTCAAGATAATCCAAGGCTCGATTTAGGCTAACATTGATTTGTCCATCCGGCGGTGTCGCGGGTAGCTGGTCGCATAATTTGTGCGACTCGCCCAAGCTTTTCCTAAGTTGTGAAACATGGATTACCGGGTGAATAGGTGATTCTTTGGGCAACTCGAGCTTGTAGGCCACCTTGTTGTTTTGTAGATTTTTGTGGGTGTTCGATGACTGTTACCCGACTCGGGTCGTTCTCAAAAGGAAGACGGTTCAGAGGTTCGTTTACTATTTAATTGTCCAAATCACAAAAAGAGAAAATAAATCCTAAACATTCTAATCAATGGTTTGGAGATGAATTAACACTAAACGAGAAACTAATTACGAGCAATAGCAAATAACGAGTAAGTAGTGAAATCGAACTATTGGAGTCTCAAGCCATTAACGCAATAAAAAGAAAGCAAATAACAAAGAGAAAGATTCAAGCTTTGAGCACTAGGTAATTAACTCTAACCTTCTAACCCTAAGTTATTAAGCTCTAAATAGAGTCCTAACCCTTCTAGATAGGCAAGCAATTAATTCCTACATAAACTCAAGCAAGCAACAAAAGCAACCAAGTTCGAACTTTCCCTCCATCATCCACAATACTCATATTTACCTTAATAAGCATTATAAGTAAAAACAAGGCAAAAAACGAAGTAATGAGGATTAAAGCTAATTACCCAATCTTATATTGCATAGTAGATGAAAATCGGAGGCAAAAGCTCGAAACTTGAACAAAAAGAAAGTCACCGGAAAAACTACCAAAAAATGACATAAGCTCATCAGTCTAGAGAGAAAACTTAAAACACAAACTAAGTACCAAAAAGGAAAAATGAGATAATTAAAGGTGGATGTCCAAATACAAAGCATTAAAGTTTATTTATACTGCTAGGCAAAACACACACTAAAAAAAATGCACATTAAAAAGAACTCTCAAGTTAGGATGAACTCGCGTGTTAGCACTTGATTTTCGCGGGCTGGTTTCGCTGGCAGCAGGAGGACTCGTGAGCAAAGGACTTTTCGTTGCGCGCAGATGTAAGAC